AAACACTATCTGATTGAGGGAAGCTCTCTGACCATCCAATCAAAATGGTTCATATTTCTGCATTAATTGCACTCATAACAATATAAATTGAGCCCCACTCCTCTCATGAGGGGGGAGCTGAAGTCTAGATATAGAGCCAAGGTCTTACGGAGGAGTTGCAGCTCAACATCATCATCGACTGACGTCGATCGCCGCTGACCGCCGTCGACCACCACCGACCGCCCTCGAACATTGTCGACCGTTCTCCACCATAGCAGACCGTCGTTGACCACCACGGACCGCCGCCGACCTCCATCAACCACCACCGGCCCTCGTTAACCACTACCGACCGTCGTCGACCACTTTACCAACCAAACATCGTCAGTCAATGTTATAACTTGAAAAATTTAGTAACCATTTATAGTCTATGAGATAAAAGCTTATCACTACAATCCATGTGCTAACAACGACCAATGTGGTTATCAGCTCATTTATAGTTTATGAGACAAAAGCTTATCACTACAATCCATGTGCTAACAACGACCAATGTGGTTATCAGCTCATGCCGATCCTGACACCGACCCCTACGGCCTACGAACGTTATTCATACTCACTCTAATGACATACGTGGTCATCAGCTCATGCAACTTCCGACTCCGGCCCTGACAGCCTACAGGTGTCATTCATACTCGCCTCTACAACCTACGTGGTTCACAACTCGTGGAACTTCCGACTCCAGCCCTCGCGGTCTACAAACGTTATTCATTATCGCCACTACGACCTATGTGGTCCACAGCTCCCGCAACTGTTTACTAAAGTTTCTCTGGCCAATCAACACTTCTGGAGCAATAATTTACAACACTCACGACGAACTACTACCTTCACAATAATAAACAATGATCATTGCAACATGCGATCACCAATAACTGCAGTCAAATTATAGTTATACAATTTTGTAACTTCATCTTCCCTAATTTAGGAGAAGTATGAGTCTGTGTACTCATCATTCATAGTGAATTATTTCAATTGGGCTATGCCCCGTGGTTTTTCCCCCTTTCAAGGGTTTTCAACATAAAAAATTCGAGGTGTCTCATTTTGCTTCATTATCTTCTTTTATCTGTGTGTTGAACTCTCGTGTAACGCTACGACGATAATCCACTACTCTACCGCCACAAATATCATGCATCGATAATTCTATCTTCCCTAATTTAAGAGAAGTATGAGTCTGTGTATTCATCATTCATAGTGGATTATTTCAATTGGACTATGCCCCGTGGTTTTTCCCCCTTTCAAGGGTTTTCAACATAAAAAATTCGAGGTGTCTCATTTTGCTTCATTATCTTCTTTTATCTGTGTGTTGAACTCTCGTGTAACGCTACGACGATAATCCACTACTCTACCGCCACAAATTTTTTAGCACACATCAATATCTATGCAATTTTTATAATTAATATCAACCATTGATCATACTGGATTACTAGAAAATGATTGTATTGGACCATCACACTAAGATGCTGTGCGTATAATGGGATCAAAATTCAATATTTGGAGATTAGTTAATGTTGATGATAATGTAAAACAAACATAAGGTTTGGTGTAGACCCAATATAGTTAGACATTCACATATGATAGAAAACCCTTTGATCTTTATCAATAATGATTTGAATAATCCAGATAAGGTGGGCTTAGAGCGTGCGCTACATTGGACATCTCAGCGATGCCATAAACAATGAGCAATCATAACTAAGTTTAGGGTACCCAAATTAAAAATGGAATATACTATATGGTCTCCCCCTATCAAATATTATATATATATATATATATATATATATATATACATTATTTTTAACTGG